GCCAGGACAGCACGTATACTTTTCTTCTGCGACGACATGCCGTTTAGGCAGGCTTTTTTGCACATGTTCCCAAATCAACGCGTTATATTCCAGTGGAGTACATTCTAGTTTTTTTTACTTCCATCAAACCTCGTATTTTCATTTTTATTCTACACCTAATCTGTTTGATTCATATTTCGTCTTTTCCTATCCTACACAAATCTACAGTACTTGAATTCCAAAAAAGAAAATAACAGCTAAAACATAACTGCGAGTTAACTACTCTGTGGCATAAGTGGAACAGTGACGGGACGGGACGGTCCCCTTTCATTGAATTCTTGAGATCCACGTCAAGATAACACCATAGTGACAGTATAAAAGAAATCTGAGGGCGTGCCCTCGGCACTCCATTCCATTTCTCTGAGCATATCATTTCGAACCCTTCTTTAACAGTCATTGAAATTCTCCTCCATTCATTTGAACTGCCCTATCATTTCGCAAAACATACCCTTCAGCACAGTACTCCTTTTCAGCCTCTTAGTGTAACCGAGTCTGGAGTGTCTGTTTAGAAACAACGCTCAACACAAAAGATAGCACTTTTCACATGTTTTTGGGAGGAGCTTCTCTTCAGTCGTGACGAAGCCAAGCTCAATAGTTCTAGCTGTCACAAAATCAGCACCAGGATAAACAAAATTGAAGGTTCATCCAGTCTGGCGGATTCAGCGACAAATCTCCTGGCCATTGCCACTATCTGCTTCGTTCGAGTCGATACCGAATGAAAGATTTACTTTCCATTGTTCCGGTGAAGTTAGGATACAGGCCCTTCGGAATCGGATCGGAAGCGAAAGTCGGAAGTCACCCTGTCTTTATCGCGATCTTCTGAAAAAAAAGATTAATAAACGCAGTCATCCGGTTATTGTGATCAGGGCTTTCAAACATAGGGAAAACCTTCTTTTATTGTGAGCTCGCCATCCGTTTAGATAAGATCCCATAAAAGCCATGAGAACAATCATCTTTCTGGCTGAGACGATCACCAACAGATCCCCTAATGGGCCCATCACCTAGCAGTTTGGCAGTTTGACCTTTCTGGTTACTTTCCCTTTACATCTATTCTTTTGTATTGCAGCAGTCGTTCCAGATGCGTTTTCAAGTTAGTGGATAGAAACCGCCACAGAATCGCGGAGAACTTTCTGACTGCCGACGAAATGGTCTGATGTGACCTCTGTATGTGAGATTGACTTTCTTCCGCTAGTATTACAGAGAGGTTAGTCACTAACGTAAGAAGTACAATCACTCTTTTTCAGTTGTTTTTAATGAGGCCTGATGGAAAGTCAACTTCATGGCGGCAATCAGATTACGTGAAAATTTTTACGATTTACTATTTATTTAATAACCCACATACAGGCGAAGATGTTGTATTTGCAAGTCTCGCACTATCACGGGTCGAGTTCCGGGTGATAAACCCCAAGACAACCAGACCTTTCGCCCAATACAACCAGACCTTTCATCCCCCGGGATCGTTTAGTGGGTAGCAGAATCGTTCAAGATGGTAGAAGCACTATTTGTACATTGTTGGCCTTTGCCAAAGCATGACCGAATTGAAGTCGAATATGGAAGCGCATGCTTAAAGGGGTTTGAACGTTGCAGACTATATCGGTCTATACCGAATTTAATTCTTCTTTTTATTGACTACAAGCATATGTGGGGGCAAGACTGCTGGAGCCGTTTTTGGCATGGGCCCATGCTTGACCTGCCAGCAGTTTTATTAATTTGTTTGTTCATGTGTTCTGCGTCCGCGGCAAACTGCTATGGTTGGCAC